TTGAGTTTATTTAATAGTACTCTCCTGAAACAGCTAATGGATATAAGGAATCCTGGAGAAAAAGGATTGCCTAATTCTAGTAAAAATCAGTCAAGGCACATATGGCATCTGTAGGTATAACCTTTTTATAAGATCACATTGTATACTCTAGGCGTTAGATGAAATTTCATGTTTCATCATGAAATTTCTAAAAACCAAAGAGCACAATAGCAAGTAACCATATGATCCAAATGTTGCCCTTTAAAACAGTTGAGACTGCTGCAGTTAGGGGGAACATTCATTTGCTTATTTCTTAAGACCATCAATTGCTTAATTTTAGAATAAAATTTGTAAATATCAGTTTTTAGGAAATAGAGATAGACTTAAAACAATAGTTTGCAAAGCATCAGTGTAGTCATTGATGCTATGTCTGGCTTTTATAACTCGGGTTAAAAGAGCCTTAGTACAAGTCAGGCCAGCATCATACATTATAATAAAGATTGTTTCTTTCCAGGACAATTTGAATAGAATGCCCAAGAGGGGCATTATATAGGAAACATTGATCTTGGAAGGACAAATAAGTAATCAAATAAACTTAAGAATGTTTTCTCTCCCTTAGTGAAACCTTAAAATGGAACAGCTCAAAAAGTTCCAGTGGAACAGCCTCAGAGCAGTTAGTGGCAGGGCATGAGGCGCCCACTACCCGCCCAATCACAGCAGGGTTAGAACTAACATTGCATGCAGTCCGCCCGCGTGATTGGCTGAACATCTGTAAGTGCTTAATGGCTAGACAAATAGCAGTCCAGAGGGAGGGGGTCAGATGGAGGAGACATCAATAATGCAGATATGGGACATTATTTTTTCTCTGCAAGGGAGAACTGATGACACACAGGATGGCTGCAAGTCTCAAGGAGGCTGTTGAAGAGGGCATAGAAAACGACCATGGGATGCCTGCATCTAAAAAACTGCAGGGTGAACGAGGTGGAGGAGCTGCCCTCAAGGAGAATGTTTGTCAGGTAGAAAATGTCTACTTGCCTTCTGATTGCATGCTTATCTTTTTTTTTTTTCTATACATTTCATTGATTTTTTTACAGAGAGGAAGGGAGAAGGATAGAGAGTTAGAAACATTGATGAGAGAGAAACATCGATTCGCTGCCGTCTCTCTCTCGGCGCCGTCTCTACACCCCCTGCTGGGGATGTGCCCGAAACCAAGGAATATGCCCTTGACCAGAATCGAACCTGGGACCCTTCAGTCCACAGGCTGACAACGCTCTATCCAATGAGCCAAACCGGTTATCTTTTTTTTTTTTTTTTTAATATATTTTATTTATTTTTTTACAGAGAGGAAGGGAGAAAGATAGAGAGTCAGAAACATCGATGAGAGAGAAACATTGATCAGCCACCTCCTGCACATCCCCCACCGGGGATGTGCCCGCAACCCAGGTACATGCCCTTGACCGGAATCGAACCTGGGACCCTTCAGTCCGCAGGCCGACGCTCTATCCATTGAGCCAAACCGTTATCTTTTAAGAGACGCCCTCTCCATTTTTTGATGGCCCATTCATTATTAGGATAATAATTTTATTGGATGATTCCAGTGTAGTCGCTTCCCTTTGAGGATTTAACTCTTCTCCCTCCCCACAAAAAGAGAAAGTAGAAGTATATAGTGTTGGTGAACCACTTGCCCCTTGTTGCCCATGAGTAGATGACCTGAAATAGGTCTCAAATGGGAGAAGTGGAGAAGTGAATCTGTGAATCTGTGGTTGCTCACTCAAGATCATTTTCTTGTACCTCTCAAGGTGTGAGAATCTTTGGATTTCTAAGGAATTTTCCAAGGGTAACTCTTGCTATAAGATTTGTTTAAAAAAAAAAATTTTTTTTTTTTGGCTTTAAAGTACTTAGAGGACCTACCATTTATATAACTTTAGAGACCCTACTGCCTATATTTTTATAATTAGTAAATAAATGTTTATACAGTATTTACTGTGTTTTAAGCATTGTCCCAATCACTATAAATATTATATCATATTGATTATAATAATCTTATAAGTAGATTATTATCATTATTAACCTAGTTTTATACTTGAGGAAACAGCCATAGATATGTTAAATAGTGAAGCCAGGATATAAACCCAGGCAATCTGGGTTTAGAGTCTTAACCAAACCACTGTATTGTATTGCCTATCTATGAGATGTGACTCCACTTTATTGTTAAAGAGCTGACTCCACTTTATTTTTTTAAGAGCCTTTATTTGACTTGGGTGTAGAGTCAATTAAATGGTTCTTTTGGTTATGATCTCTTTTTATGGTCTTGATTTACCTTTGTAAATTCTTTAAAATTGGCATATAAAAATTTTCAAGATATTAGTTTGTTTGTTTTTTTCCTAATCGAAATAGCTGAAAAATAAAACTAATCCAGGCCAATATAATTTCAACTCAGTTTCTTTGTTCATTTTCACTATTGTACACACACACACACATTTTGATCAAAGAAGGTTGACCATATTCAGTCCAGCTCCCAAACACAGGGATAATCCTCAGAGACTTATACCCACAGAGATTATTAACAAAAAATGATAAATAAAATTATGGTGACTCAGTGGTCCTGGCTTGTTTAGATCAGTCTTTGATTAAATCTGTTTTTCTTCTGTAATTTATTTTTTATTTTAAATTTTGTTTTATTGCTTAAAGTATTACAAAGAGTATTTACATATGTCTCCTTCTGTAATTTATTAATAGTGCCTCTTTTTACTCTCAAGTGTCCCACTTTGAAAGATACAATATTTGTCAGTTTTTATGTGTGAATAGTGGATAATGGGGGAACTGAACATGTGAGACTAGTTCAGACTACAGATTGATTAAGATCTTGAGGTCCCTTCCTAATCTCTAGCTGCCTCTGGCCTTATTCCCTGCTAAAGTTCTACTCACTTGTTTATTTTATGTTAAGTGACCAAGACCTGTTCTATTTCTTTGGGTTCCTAAAGATAATAGATTTACCTAGCCACATGTTCCCTTTCTTCTCTTATAGAATAAGTATAAAACGTTTTTTTGTTTGTTTGGGTTTTTTTTGGTGTGTTGTTTTTTTTTTTTGCTAATCACTATGGGGAAACTAGTCAAAATGTTGGAAGGGTAAAAAATAACATATTAGGAATTTGCAGAATTTTCATAAATCTTCAAATGTTTTCAGAGCAACATATCTAGATAGATCTTACTTCCTAAGGCCCTATCTTAAGTGGCGCCCTGTCTTAGATGAGATCATCTGAGAAAGATGATATTTCTGAGCTGGTTCATATCTCAAGGGTTGTTTAAACCTTAATTGGAGCTCATTTAGAACAGTTGTGACCCAAGTCCAGCTAGCTAGTATCTCTTGTTGAATCTTTGCAGTAGTCTTCTTGATTATTTCTTTGCTTCTTTTCTCATCTTTCTACTTTTTAAAAAAAATTTATTTTTAAAAGTGTTATAGATGCCCCCTTTCCCCCATTGGTCCCCTACTCCCCACTCTTACCCTCTCTCCAGGCCTTCACCACATGGTTATGCATATAAGTTATTTGATTAATCTCTTCCTGCCTCCCTGCCTTCCTTCTAAGGATCGCCAGTTTGTTACATGCTTTCATGTCTCTGGATTTATTTTGTCAGTTTATTTTGTTCATTATATTCCACATATAAGTGAGATCATGTGATATTTGTCTTTCTCTGACTGGCTCAGCATAATACTCTCTAGGTCCCTCCATGTTGTCTCAAAGGCTAAGAGATCCTCCTTTTTTACAACTGCATGGTATTCCACTGTGTAAATTTACCACAGCTTTTTTATCCACTCTACTGATGGACACTTGGGCTGTTTCCAGATCTTAGCTATTGTAAATAGTGCTGCTGTTGTAAATATTTTCTTTCTTTTTTAAAAAAAGGTATTTTTTATTGATTTCAAAGAGGAAGGGAGGGGGAGAGAGAAATAGAAACATCAGTGAGAGAGAATCATTGATCGGCTGCCTCTGCAATCCAGGCATGTGCCATTGACTGGAATCGAACCTGGGATCCTTCAGTCCACAGGCTGACACTCTATCCATTGCACCAAACTGGCTAGGATGTAAATATTTTCTTTCTGATTGTTGTTTCGGGTTTCTTAGGATATATTCCTAGATCAGCTTTCTATTCTTAAACTCAGTTTCGACGTAGCAATCACAAGGATCTGTTTTTAAATGAGTCACTGATTTTAGCCTTCCCTTGGTAAAGCTATCTAATGAAACACCTAAAATCTGAAACTCTGTACCATAATCAGTAAGGTCACATAATCAGGCCTTTGCCTCTCTTGTACCTCATTTTCTACCACTTACAACTTTAGTCCCATGACACTGGCTTTCCTTTTGCTTCTCAGACATGCCATGATTTTTTTCCATTTATGGACTTTCTGTACTTGCTGCTTTCCTGGCCCTTCCTTCACATCACATGGCTGATTTGTCATTCAGAGCTAATCTGAGCAGCCATTCCTAATCACCCAGTCCAAAGTATCTATTTGAATTTTCTACCTTCAGTTCTCGACAATAATGCTTATCATGTCTATCTTTTCTGTTTAAGTTTTTACTTGTATTTTCTATCCTTAGAATATAAAAACCATAAGAACCAGGGATCTTGTGCTACCTGGTAATCATTACATATTGCATGAATGGTTGGTGGGATTTCTTGTTTCTGGCAAAGCTATTTATTAATCTTTGCCTTCCTAAGGGCCTTCTTGGGATTTTTTAAAACCTTTTTCTATAGCCCTAACCGGTTTGGCTCAGTGGATAGAGCATTGCACTGGAGACTGAAGGGTCTCGGGTTCGATTCCGGTCAAGGGCACATGCCTGGGTTTGGGGCTCAATCCCCATTAAGGGGTGTGGAGGAGACAGCCAATCAATGGTTCTCTCATCATTGATGTTTCTCTCTCTCTCTCTCTCTCTCTCTCTCTCTCTCCCTCTCTCCCCCTTCCTCTCTGAAATCACTAAAAATATAGTATTAAAAAGAAAAAGACAAAAAAAATACTTTTTCTATAGACAGATCTGTTTTCTTTTTCTTAACAGAACTGTGAGAAACTGGGTGAGCTGCTGTTATGTGAGGCTCAGTGCTGTGGGGCTTTCCACCTGGAGTGCCTTGGATTAACTGAGATGCCCAGAGGAAAATTTATCTGCAATGAATGTCGCACAGGTAAAGTTAGATATAGAAGGATCTTCTTCCAAAGAAATATTGAGCTTTAAGTTTTTCATTTATAGGAGACACTGTTTTGTTGCAATACTGAGCTAGTTGCTACAGACATAGAGATAGCTGCTATGCAGTCTTTGCCCTCAGAAGAGCTTCCAAGTTTATAATAAATGTATAGTATAGCATAATGTAGTGCAAAAGTGTTGTAATGGAGATACATTTAAAGTGCTGTGTGAACAAAGATGAGACGGTGCCATAGAAGGAGATACCTGAGTTTGGCTTTTAGAGAAAATATAAATTTGTATGGAGATGGGAAGGACAGAGGGCCTAGTAATGAAATTAGAGAATATTTGTGGAATAGGAACTGTAGATCAGTGCTTTTAGAGTTTAAGATATTTGAGGAAAGAGGTACTGGTTAGTGACAAGGAAGGCTGCTGGGTTACTGGTGATGATTTATATTTCTTGACTAGAGGCCCAGTGCATGACTTTGTGCATGGGTGGGGTCCCTCAGCCTGGCTGGCGATTGGGGCTGATTTGGGCCACGGGAGGTTGGGGGGTGTGGGGAGGCTGCAGGAGGTTCCAATCGGGGTTGGCCAGCTTGGGGGGGCTGGCTGTGCAGGTATGGGAGCACACTGACCACCAAGAGGCAGCTCCTATGTTGAGCGTCTGCCCCGTGGTGGTCAGTGCATGTCATAGCGACTGGTTGACTGGTCGTTTTGGTCGCTTAGGCTTTTGTATATATAGATGTGAGTGGTGATTGCATAAGCATATTTACTTCATGATTATTCATAAATAATACACTTAGGATGTATATACTTTTCTTTATAACTCAAAACTTTTTACTTCCCCCCTCCCCCAAAAAAAAGAATGTGATATTTTGGGAGAGTTATACTACATAGATTGGGTCAGAACCTAGAAATGTTCACATGACACCTGCCTGTAAAGCACTTTCCAAGCTGTGCTAAGGATATTGTTCTTTTTTCAGCATTATATGTGGATAGTATAGCATTTAAGTATTGAAGAAATAAGGGCTGAGTCTTATGTTCATAAATCATTAAAATCATAAGTGTGGATGACGCTGCCTTCTTTAGGCATCTATAGGGCGAGAAGAAGCACAATGACAGTACCTCCCCTTAAAAGGAGGGAATGGAGGATCTAGTCAAAGAATGTCTGTGAAGCCCCGGGAGTGGGGTGTCATAAGCAGGGCAGATGTGGCAAAAAGACAAGATCCAGGAGGTTGCGGAGTGAATAGAGGCTGTTGTAATTGACTGTGATAAATGGTTCACTTTTTGCTAGAGAGTGCCACATTAAATCAGGATGAAGGTGAATGGGTAGCAGCAGACACTATTTTCTTACAGAGGCTTGATTTCAATGGAAAAGAGTGCAGTAGCTGAAGGGAGGATAGTATAGGGTCAAAAGGAAGAAATGCTTGAGTGTTCATAGGATGAAGGTTAAGA